AACCTGAAGAAATGTCCACCACATCACCACTCCCCCTCACACCTCTCACTGCCCCCAAGAAAGCTCATGGCAAACGTCATGCCAGATACACCAATGCTATGAGGAGGAGGCAACTTAGGAATGCAGCAAAGACATTTGCACATAGTACGCCTGCAGTGCACTGAGCTGCACAGGCCAAGTACCAGCAAGATCACCCTGAGGTGCTCAGAACAACACTGTCTTCATATGAGCAAAACAATCCAGGAACACAAGTAGACAGGCCATAACTTTCGTGGAAGGTAGCAGGAGTTGACTTAACAGACAACTGGACAGTTCTATGTTGCCTGCTCCAGAGTGAGCTCACCAAGCAGCCTGGTGATCCTAGCACCTGAGAGCAGAACCACCAATGTGGTCTAGAGAGAGGTCCTTCAGTAGAGGGGGGGGGGAGTACGCATGTCTCACTTCATTTCTTACACTACAATCTTCTCTGTTAAAATTCCTACAATGTCACATTTCAAATTTCACATCATCAGTATTATGACTGGATTTACGGAACTTAAATACCATAGCGAAGCACAGGTATCAGGCTAGTATTTTTATAAAAAAGCCTGCAAGGCAACAAGTCCATGGGGCCACGAAGAGTCGGACTCGACTGTGTGACTAAACAACAACACAATAATCTCTTCTTCCTAACCAATGGTTTTTGTTTTGTATGTATTTTAACTGTTGTTGTTTTTTAAATGAAGTATGTTTGGGGAGAAGGTTGATTTTAATGGTTTTAGAATGCAATTTTATTTTAAATTGTTAGCCACTTTGGCAGCCCTCCTATGGGCAGAACCTTGTAAATAAATAGTATCAGTGTAAACTAAACCTGTATGGGTCAACATAGCCTAAACTACTTTGGATTGCAGAATTCTTCTATTTGTGAAACTGGATGCATTGGAAAGGAGAGTTGAAACCAGAGGCAAGTGCTATGGCCTTGGATGCAGTGTTTTTTACCTTCCAAATCTTATTTCTTTGCTTTATTTTTCAAACTGGCATAGTCATGGCTTGTAAATGTCCTCTTGGCTGGACAGTAAGGACAGATGTCTATACCCTTTAGAAAAATCCAGGCTTGTAAATATATTCATAGGGTAGGGTATATTTTATTAAAGCTCTGACAAAAGTGTTGTGTATCAATAAACGTACAGATATACCTGACCGTCATCAACACAATAAAGTGCTAACCTCCATCCCTACCTTTACTTCTCCCTTACTTCTAATGATTCCATTACTGGTCCATTTAATTAAATATTTCAGCCTGTATAGAAAGCATCTGGTTAAAAAATTAACTCTTCCACTAACATATATAAACATATACAAAACAAGTAGTGATAAAAATGCCTGTGTATTTTTCTGCCACACAGCAAAATGTATTCTGATGTAAAGTGATAGGGATGGGCACAGACCTAAAAAAAAGGCAGTTCAGTTTGGGGCCCTGCGCAAACTGAACCAGTCTGGCAAGTTTGGTTCCCCGGCTGTGGCTGGTTTGGAGGGTGGAGTCTATGGCATTGTACCTGTCTGAGGTCCCACCCATCCTCAAACCCCACTCTCTCCCATGGGGTCGCGAAGAGTCGGACTCGATTGTGCGACTGAACAACAACAACAAAAGCAGGGCAAAGGTAACATGAAGCTTTGATTTCAGTGCTTTTAGGCCAAAGGCTTCATTGTTCCTCCCTAACCTATACCCACATGTTATTACTTCTAGTCATTGTGCAACACAAAGTGTACAAAATCTGGCTTGTGACTCATAGGAAGGAGAGTTCAGGGCACATTCTTTGAAGTGGGTGTCTGAATTTTTTTTAGAACCAAACAGTTTGTGATGTGTGAGCTGTAATGATGATTTCACATAGTTTTTCTTGCATTTTTAAAATTAAAGCAGAGTGCTGTTTTGATGTGGATCTACAGGCATTATTCACATATATATGTATTCATTAATGACAGTACTTGTAGCCCTATATATCAGCTCAACATGGTAATCCACAAATTTTAATTTTACATTAAATTTGGCTTTTCACACTGGAATTAAAACACCACCTGTTCCTAAAAATATGATGTTTTGGCTCAAAGCTGTTTTTAATCCATTATGAAAAAATCTAGAGTGGTGTTGGAAGTTTAAGGAATGAACAACACATACAGTATTTTCTTTTTCCCATTCCTATATGCTGATCAGTTTAAGTGGACTCAGAAATGGAGCTTTCACAATGTAAGATGTTTTTTAACCACAGTGATAATGGAGTTTGTAGAATGGCTTACAGGTCAGGCAAGAAACACACACACACCCATAAATAAAAAATTATTATTGGCAAGAGATTCAAAGTATTTGTGTAATGTGTTAACAGTTGCCATGATCTTCCACCAGTTGGCAATGCTACCAGAGACATGATATAGTCAGTGTGTTTAGTATAGTCAGTAATCAAAAGCAGTATTCAATGGGGAGCATTATATTGTCAGCAGGTACTCATTGTCCAGTGTTCATAGGCTGGATTTTGGGATAATTGCCAAGTGGTTTGTTGTTAAGTGTATAAAAATGTACAGCTGGTATGTAGTAGGTGAATGGGGGGAAAATAAACAGCGGAATAATAGTTTAGTTCTAATAATTGTACAAATCTACTTATGGGACTGGGGACTTCATACACACCTCCTGTTTTCTACAAAGACGGGAGCTTGAAGTTACAAGCCCAGCTACTATGGCATTTGTCAAGCTCGGCCCACGCTTGCCAAATATTTCCTGTTTCCTACACTTACGTTCTGTGTCATTATTCCTTTGGTTATATTATGGATTCACATGTAGTCTTACACGGTTCCTTTGTTACACGTAACCTTGCTCTTTCCCATTGCTGTTTATCATCACTGCTGGGAACTGGGGGGGGGGTAGTGGATGTGTTTGGCTGTCTGCTTTGTTTGGTTAGTGTCAGCTCGTAACAGTTCTCATGCAGGGGCCTCCCAAGTGTGTTGAGAACACCTTGGGATGTATATGATCTCATTGTTCTATGTGATCTTGAAGTCTGGGAAGCTTCTAGATAATGTAACTGTCAGCATGCAGGTGGGGGGGCGTTGCAAGGGCAGGAGCAGATGTGTGGTGGGCTGAATGGGATCAGTGATTGGTCGCTTGGCATCTGTGGAATTTCTTGCTTTCAGTATATTGGCAGAACTGGCGTCTGGGCCCCAGTTCCGACACGGAAGCTGTCTGTGCTTGGAACCTCTCTACCTCTTAATAAACCTTGCTGATACAAGAGTGTTTGTGAGAGTGATTGCATCCAGGACTTGCCATAGTGTCGGAACTGTTTTAACCTCGACCTCAAAATGCAGAGAGTGAAATCTGGAGCAGTGTCATTCAAATCGATGTCTCATGGAAGTTAATGGGAATTGGATCCTTCATTGTGCAATTAAGCCCCCTTATCTTCAATTAGGAGACAATACAGTTGCCCTTACTATAATCCAAAACAGGTTGGACTAATTAAATTTCAATAATTTAGCATATTAAGTCCCACTGACTTCCATGGGGCTTATGATCTGCAACTTCTTCTGGGTTGTGACCAGCCTAGGAACATTTATTTCTGAGTGATGTGAAGACTAAATGCTTATGAATGTGATCACAGTCTAAATGGGAGACAGCTGAGAGCCCTTTTCTAAGGAAGAATGGAATTTTATTTATTTTATTTTTATCCCACCGTACCCTGCAAGCAAGCTCAGGACAGCTGACAACATGCAAGTATAACAATTTAAAAGATTAAAACATAGTATAATAAAAGATTGAAATTTAATTCTATACATAAAATCACAATATGGTGAGGATGCAGACGAAGTATAAAGCCTTCCGCCAGGCTTTTGAGTAGGAGCTGCCACCATCACTGTACCATCACCGCGCTGCCAATTTTGGCAATGCGAGCTGGCCCTGGAACTGAAGAACGGACATAGCGCAGACTGATCAAGTAGAGCTAGTAGAATTTTGAAACATTGTATTGGAGACCCCATCTTGGATGTTGTTTTGCGAGCACCGATTTTAAATGTAAACGTAATCGATTGATTTATCTGGTTTTTATTGTTATGTATGGCAATTGCCTCCCGTCAGCCGCCCTGAGCCCATGAGGAAGGGTGGGATATAAGTCAAATAAATAAATAAATAAATAAAGTACTCTCAGAAAAATCTAGCCCTTGTATGTATACTAAATCTACTGGTTTTTAACAAGTGGCGTATATGCTCTCCAGGAAGAAGTAAAGAAAATTAGCAAGTTAAAGAGGAAGGTGGTTGCAAAATGCATTTTATGTGATAAAGAGAGGACTCAAATAGGTCTTATATGGAGAAAGACCTCAAAATAGATATTCTCTAGATCCCTGTCTTTTAAAAAGCCAAATGAAAACAAGCAGGGTTTTGGAACGTACAAGTCTAAGACGGCAGTCTTGTGAGTATGCCTCATTCAAGAGGGACTTGTTTCTGTGTATATGTGAATAGGGTTGGGCTCTACAGTTTACTAAGACGTCTCAGTTTTCCATCCTTGTTCCCACCCCACCCCCACCCGCTGCTGGCTAATTACTGTTTACTGACTAGACTTTGGTCCTCAAACAGTAACTTTTTCCATCTTGAAGTGGGTTGTCCCATTCAAGGGAAGAGCCTGTAGTCTGAGTACTAAATGGAATTACTACCGATGGAAACTATGCTGCAAGAGGAGTTGATAAAGCAGCTGTCTGTGCAAACCTCAGCTGTTTTTTCCATCCTCCAGAGCAAAGTTAATTAGCATAGGGAAACTGACTAATGTGCTTACGTCACCTCTTTCCAGTTGAAGCTTACATTTTGTCCCTGCCTGCCTGAAAGCATGGGACAGGACTTTGTTCAGGAATTTGCTGTTGCGTACAGGATGCTCTGAAAACTTTGGAGGGGGGTTGGGGGGCTGGGCTTGGCCCTTTATAAACTCTCTACAACACATAACAACTTCTTCAAAA